GCTAAAACATTTTGTATGCCTTTCAGGGGATTTCCAGGTTCACTCTTTTCCTAGACTTCTCATGAGAATATTAGTTTGATAACTTCAGTCAAGATACACACATCTACTACTACTTGGTAAGATTCAGAAGTAGGCTGGCTTGTCATGATTTGCTCTTGAAAAATCGACATTAACTGCTATTCACCTCTTATATACTACCTTTTAGGTTCTTACACATTGTTTGCTTTTATGACTACAACCATTCCATGAAACAAATTAACAAACCAAAAATAGATAAAGCACATTACTGCTAAGGGTGCCAATTACTTGCCAAGCAATACAGAGTAGGTATAGCCCTTCCCCAAAATAGTCATGAGAAGGTGAAATCCAGATTTATACATCTGAATAGAAAACAGAGCTGGAGGGTGGTAAGGGAAAAAGAGAGAGATGAATGTCTGCTGATAGGGAGAGAGAGGAGCATAAATGGAAGCATACTAAAGCTGCATGGAAAATTCACTCTCCTCTTTGATAACTGTAAGAACTAAATGGAAGGAAGCCAGGAAAACAAATAAAGCCTTTTTTTTGGTAAACAAGTTGAAAGTGTAACTCTCATAGCAGCCCTGCATTTTATTTGCCCCATTATTCTATGATTAGCATTCTAACTCGGCATATACAAATAGGTTACATCTGCTTTACTGCAGCAATCCTCATCAAATAAAATGCAATCCTCTAGTTGCTCACTTTGAGGGGGCTTTTTTTTTGGCAGGGGTCACTAGACCAGAGTATTAAGATCATTGTTAATGAACTTTGTTCTCCATTTTCCAAAATATCAAGACTAATGAAGACTTAGATGTAAAAATAACTCTCCCTGGCAATACTGGTTGAGATTTGAAGTACTTGGTATCAAGAGATCTGCTCTAAGGACACTCTTGAGAGCTGCAACTTGCTTAGCGGCCTCCTCAACCACAAAAGCAAACACTAAATTTCAGGCCACTTCAAGAGTTTGGTCCCAATGTGAAGCTGCAGAAACCTGGCCAACTTCTCCAGAGCTCCAATGAGAAGTCAGTCAGCGTTACACATTTTCCTTTAAGTCCACAGAAATACGGCTCCTATGTTGAAATTGTCAGTGCTTAAAACTGTAAGCGGTGCCACTTGAATCTCTGCATCAAGAATTACTTTGTTTCTTTACCAGAATGTTACAGAGCATTAAGCCTCCTAGATGTTTCTCCCAGTTTCCTTCTTTCAGTAAAAAACAGCTTTTGCAAATCCATCCACAAAAGACACCATAAGGACTCCAACCTTTAAACTATTAAGCCTGTTAGAGTTTCAGTTATATTCCATTACAGAATTGTTGAACCCGAGGGACTGTAGGGGTAAAATTCACCTTGCACCTTTGACAGCTTTGATGTCCAAGAGCAAAACATATTGCTGTTTGTCCAAGTATCCAAATAATGTGTTTGTATCACAGCAGCATCCAGAGGCCCCAATTCTGTCTTGCCACTCCTTGCACTGCGTAAGTGTATGTACTGTTCAGAAGACCATACTCAGTTCAGAATGGGTATCCCAGTTTTAACTGTCTGAACAGCAGGAGCTGACTTGCCAGCCAAACAGCACATAAAGGAGTTCACTGAACAGCTCTGAGAAATGCTGGTTTTAGCCTCGGTGTGGTAAAAGACAGCAAAGAGGAAACAGCCCCATCCAGCAATCTGCAGTACCTCCACACAGACTCCTAACAGCAAACACCACAGCAAGTCTTAATGAGAAGCCTAGACAGTTCTCATCTCATCCTCTTCACCTCTTATTTTATTTAGGACTGTCAGACTTTGTGTCCTCAGTGGATAAGCACTGTCAAACACACAATACCCTCGACACCTTTGATTGTAAGGTCTACAATAGAACTAGGACATTACACTGAAAAACTAAAGGAAGGAAGGTCCAAATACCAAAACACTAAGCACAGCTCACATCAAGAACCACTGGCATTTGTCCAGGAGTTGCTGCTTTCTTGGGGCAAGACCAAAATGACTGTGCATTACTGCAACAAAAAAAGCGAACTGATGTGACTGTACAACCATCATCTTAGTCCAAGCACCTTTGCAACATCCAGGACAGAAGCATGAATAAAAAGAAATAGCTATCCCACTGTGGTACACTTGTATTTGAACTTCGTGCACTTCATGCAAACCCTTAAAGCATTTCCTCACACAATATTGATGTTTAATATCCACATGTGGCATTTGAGGTTGGTTGGGGTTTGGGTTTTCTTCTGATGAAGAGATTATTCCAGAAGTCCGATGTGCAACTGAAAACAAAATCCAGACATTTTAATTTCCAAACGCTCTCACCTTCCTAGCTTGCTTCCGCAAATGATGGGACATATGGGGCAAAGCACAGACATCAGGTAAGGGAAGTGTGCTCTCCCCTTCCTAGCTTGCTTCCACAAATGATGGGACATATGGGGTAAAGCACAGACATCAGGTAAGGGAAGTGATTTGAAAGCAGCGAATACAGAGCAGTTTGTGGGAAGACAAGGACATATTTCACTTAGAAGACCACAGTTTATTAGAGCATCAGTGCATGCTATAACTCAATTTTCAGTATCTTGGCATAACTTTAGAATGGCTCATGTCATCATTTTACTTAATGCCAACAGCCTCTTAGCCTTCCATGCTGATTCTTAATTCAGTTTTGTATGCTCAAAAAAAATTTGAATATACTCAATTCTGTCTTTTGGTTATACAATTCACCAATTAACCCAAAATGAACATAGATCAGTATTATTTTAATGAAATATCTGTATGGTTTGGGAACTAGAGGCATGCATCTCAAAAGAAATAATAGTGGCAGATGTTTTTGTTGTTATACACGTGAGACAAGGGATTGTGCTACTGGACAAGCATTTTGTCACACAAATATCCCATCAGCTGCAGATTCCTACCACTTGCTCAAGGCTGACCATTCTGTGAGTGTACTGCATGTATACTTTTTGCCTGCACCTAAATTCATGCCAGCTCTCAGAGACCATGAAAGGCATCCTTTGCTATTGATCAGGACTCCCCACACACCTTCTACTGAATGGCCCTGGA